CAGATGGATTTAAAGCTCTCTGGCATGGCTGCACCTCCACATAAGTCCTCTCCCACCTTGTGCAATACACCTGAAGTCAGAAGGAGATCCAGTGGGATATCTTGTGGTGTGCATGTGCACTAAAGGCTGTCCACAAAGTGAATGTGAGAGGCTTTAGTGAGCATCCCCTCATCTTTCCACCCCTCACGGGGCACAAGTGTAGGTGGGAGGACAGTCAGCACTATTGTCATCCACAATGGGTTTTCCGCGTTGCTGCCCCCAGTAATGCTCTGTTGAGGCTTTTAGGAGCAGGAATCAAATGCAGGCAGATGTGGTGCTGTTAGCTCATTACTTGATGGCATAGATAACGAGCTCAGGGGAAATCTAAGCACACTTACCAGTTATCTGCCAATTGAGCTTGGTTCCTTCTGGATGTTACCAAACGTTAGAAAGCAATCCAGGGGAATGGCAAGAGGTTTAAGTGAACATTTTGTTCTTGTTTTCGAACACATGTCAACAGTTTTCTTGAGATAACTTGCATCTCTGTGGAGTACATCCTTGAGAAAAAGCAGCTAGGTGCCTGGGTGTTGCTAACACACTTAGGGAACAGATTGCTTTCCCTGCCTTACCCTTCCAAAAATATCAGCCAGGAAGTTTAACTATGTGTTAGTAAGGGGCTGGTGGTGCCAGCCTCTTTGTCGTTATTTTCAAGGTCAGCTTCAATTGATCTCTCTCTTGCTTCATGTAGTTGCTCACATCATTTCCTTTTGATTCCCTGACTGTGCCCTCATTGTTGGGATTTCCACTACGTTCCCGTGTTGTCCTTTGGTTAAACTGGTTCCTGTTTACTTCCTCCCTTTCTGCTTGTGCCTCCTCCTCTCCTTGCTCTCTTTCTGCAGAACTCACTAATTCTCCTATGCCTTATATATTATTTCCCCATCCTGAAATATAGCCCACAGTCCCGACCTGCAGCTCCATGGACCAGATGCCCACTGTTTTCCTAGCTAGCTTTTGGGAATGTCTGTTTCACACAGCAGACGATTACTCCTGCGTGGAGGAAAGCAGCTCAAAGACCTTGGCAGGAGCTGTGGTCCCAGCTGGAAGCAGCCCATGCTCTGTATTTCAGCTGTGCAGGAGGCTCCAGGCCTTTCTATGGGCAGGTTTGTGCCTGGCAAAACAGTAAATTGGTGACTTGTCTCTGTGCAAGCCACAGGAAGACGCTGGTATACACAGGAAGGTACAACTTAATGGTGTAGAGCCAGCAGCTCTCCTGCCTGTGGCTCTGGAGTGACAAAATAGCACTGAGCAGATCTGTCTTGCTTCTGAGAGAGGTGTTGGCTCCTGGCTTTGTCAAAGTTACAGCCCTACTTGTCTGCTAGGGTAGGAACTGTATGTACACTGGGTGGATGCCGAGCTGCATGCTGTGAGAGCTGCACAGAGCCAGATTTGGCATGATGTGCTGAGCCCTCAGGATTTCCACAGGAGTCTCAAGCAGCAGGAAAATGAGGTTGTAACCTACTCAAACTGCGCCTGTATGAAAGCCTCTCTTGCTGAAAGTTAATAACTAGCAAATGTGCATGATGCAGAAGCCGACCGTGAGGTTTTCCAGTAAGCAAAAGAATCTGCTGGCAGTTTGCACAGCTCAGATTGCAGAGAAGGCCTCAGTGGCTTCGCTAGTGGCAATCATTAAATTGATACAATGAAGCCAGCATTAACTTCATTAAAAAATAAAAAATAATAATTAAAAAAAAAACCTGTTTTTAACTACATTACTCATCTCCTTAGAAAAAAATGTTTAATGGGATGAGAACAGTTAGTGCCATCTCTTCAACAGACCCAAAGTTGAAGTTCCTGGTGGGTTTGCTATCTCATGTCCCAGAGCAGAGCCAGGTGTCTCTCTGCCACAGCAGCAGCATCCTCTGGAATTCACCTTTCACAGTGCTTTGCTGGAGGGAGTTTTCCCTGTAACATCAGTTGCTTTGGTTTCTTCTTCTTCCTTCCTGAGCCAAGGGCACACAGCCCAGTCTTTGCAGCGAGCAGAAGCAGTGCCAGCCTAGCGCAGCATCCCAAACTCTCTGGACAAGAGAGTTTTGCCAGCACGTGGTACCTCCTGGACAATATCTACCACTGCCACACCCCTGGTGGAAAAAATGTTGAGGCACTGTAAATATTGCTGTTTGAAAGGCTGCAGGAGGCGAGTGCTCATTGCCTTGCAACAAGTCTGATAAATTGTTTATTGTAAATGGTACCTTGAAGGGCACGATTTGGGAAGCCCTCCTGCAGAGGAAGCCTGTGTGTTTTCCAGACACATCACGAGGTACTCTGGCCCTTCCCAGCCATACACCACATGCCTCCATGCCCTTCTTGAGCAGAGCAGAGAGTCCCCTTCGCTTCACTTGCTGGTGCACTGCAAGCAGCCTGTGTCCTTTTGGAGAGTGAAAAGCTCACGGAGGAGGAAACAGCCATGCAGTCACCTGGCAGTGGGGAGAAACAGTTCCAGGAGCATGCAAGTTGTACTGGACCCTGTCCCAAGGATATTGGCTTGTGAAAATTGGCCTTGTCTGGCCTGGGCAGCTGCGGCCAAGTTCCCTTCCAGGCTGAGAGCTGCCACAGCAGGACCCAGCAGCTCTTGGGCAGGCATCTGGTTCTAAAACTGCTCCTCCTGCGGCTGGTGTTGAAATCATTCTCGGATCCCACCTCTTCCCAGCTAACGCCAAGGTCCTCCAATAGAGCACACCTAGCTGCTGTACACAGTCACCGGGCAGTTATTTGGAGCCCTTCTAATGGTAGGCAGATCTCTTGGTTGCTCCTCTTAACCAGGACTGGACCTTCTCTTAAGCCATTAAAGCAAGGGGATTTTTCTTGTGTGCTTTACACAAGGTAAAATACACAGGTTCCTGAGCAGAGGATAATACAGCTCATTTTCACCCAGCCTGTAGTGTATAAATTCCCCAAAGTCTTTACAGGTTCTGGCCATCCTGGACAGGTGACAGTATGTGTTAAGTAACTGCAGTAGTACATGAGCGGACCAAGTGTGTGTGGAAATATATGAGGCAAGTAGCTGGCTCATAATTCATGGATATTGTATGTTACCTGTTTTTTGGAACAATTACTGCATAAGCAGACAGGGTTACCGAAGTGCTCACTGGTGTGCGTCTGCTGATTTTGTGCAGTCACTGGGTGCGCCAGGACCGGGCGGGAAGTCAGCACAATGCCTCGAGATACATTATCGACTGTAAATGTGGCAGGAAATCATTAAAGATTTCCTTTGCTGTTCCCTGGGAAAAGGCTACCTCCAGGTTCCAGCAAATGCAGAGGACTCATACTGCCAGGGCTGAGAAATCAAGAGAAAAATCACTCTAATAAGCTGATGTGTCAGCAGCTTCAGCAGAGAGCCCTCTGCTCCAGATGGCTCCTGCGCCCATGGATTCAGGGAGGTGATGGATAGCAATATACGGGGGTCATGAGTGAAGGGAATTTCTGTAGTTCTTCTACTCCAGCCAGGCTCACCCGATCCTCACTGAGGCTCTTGGGGGCTAAGAGATCTGTGGATGCAGACAGATCTGAATCCCTTGTCTCTAAAGCTTTATAAATCCCTATAGCCAAAATTAAGTAGCTCCAGGAAGGAGATTCACAGATGCCAAACTCTCTTGGACCACCTGGAAGAAGACAATTTCCTACTGTGCAGAGGCAGTCAGAGACAAGAGGGCAAGCAGTGAGAGACACCACCCTGGGCAGGTTAAGGCAAGGAGCCCTAGCATTTGTAGGGGCTCATTCAAAAAAATTGTTTTAATGGTGATACCAGGAATTCACTTGACTCATCTCACTTGATGTGTGGGGTAGCTTTGACTTTTGTTGTTGCAGATAGGTCTGTCTTGAAAAACATTCATGTTTTACCAAAAATATGCTTCTGTCTTTTCTTTTTTCTGCATCTCACAAACCAGCCTCCGGTCTACAAGACTTAAATGCTGTGTCAGCAGAGAAAAGGACTTGGGGAATTACTATGGAAATCTCATTTCTGGGCTATGCCTACAGGTGCAAAATTAAAATATATATATATAAAAAAAAAAGTATCTGTACTAATTTTGTGAGATTATTTAACTGCTGAAGAACTTAGTGTTCTGGGTAAAAACAAAGTCGTCATACTATGGTCAAGGGAAAAGAGCCAGATAGTTACATTCCACAGTGTTCATTTTCTCACTGGAAAAGATGAGCAGAGTAACAGACCTTTCTTCTTTCTTTTTCTTTTTTTTTTTCCTTTTTTTCTAAAAGGAAAAATTAGATGGTCAAAATTCCAGGTTTGAGTACCTGCAAAAATCCTACAAGTGAGCCTGAAAAGGCCAGTAGCCTGTGCACCTGGATCAAAGTCCAGTTTTAAATATAGGGAGCAACTGGAACAGAAGAGAATAGTTTGAAGGTTCCACTGAACTTGATCAAGATGTGTAGGAGGATTTTTCCACTACTTGTTTTCTACATGCTATTTCAATTTAGGATGTTTGTTTCTTAAATGTGGAGCCTTGCTAACAAGCCTGCCAAAGACGATACAACTTTCTATCCTGTTGGACCGTTTTCTGGTTATTCCATAATAAGCATATTATGTGTGTTAGAAATAACACACACAATGTCAGAAATAAGCTGTCTCTCTTTTAAAAATTATCACTTACGGTCAGAATAGTTTTTCTTTCCCCATGGTGAAAAGAGTCATGAAAAGGCTGTAAACATGCTGGAATTTCTTTCTCTTCTTATTTTTTTTCCATTTCTTCTGAACTGTTAGCCCCTAAGCTATTGTAAGTTGGCCTTCTTTGACTGAAAAATGTTTTGGGATGGAAGAGAGGCCATGAAACATACTTCATTGCATCTGTCTGGCTGTACCAGTAGCATACCACATATAAACCAGTAGTCCTTTTTCTTCTTCCTCTCACTGTTGATTAATGTACTCATTGAAAGGGCCAGAAGAGTCTTCCTTATGTAAAACCCATGGTATGCATCTCACAAATGTGTCTTTGATTCTTTTTCCACAGGAGAAGAACGAAAACATAACTGAAAAACAAAGTCATATTCCTCCAGCAGGATTTGAAGGAGGAAAGCCTGCCGGCCTGGACAACAACGAAGTTCCCTACATACACACAGAAGCATTTCCCCAGGACTGGTGACACTGTTGTTCAGTCTTTCTCTTGCTAAGAGGGCTTCCACACAACTTTACAACAATGAATTTCCTCCGGAGACGTCTCTCAGACAGTAGTTTTGTGGCGAATTTGCCCAATGGCTACATGATGGACTTGCAGCGCCCTGACAACTCCACAAGCTCCCCAGTTTCTCCTGCCATGGAGAGAAAGCACCCACAGCCACCACAGCCCTCACAGTCTTCCTCTACTGGCACCAGCATCTTCAGCTCCATCTCCAGTGCCATGAAGCAAACCACACAAGCAGCTGCGGGACTCATTGATCACTCAACAAGCCCCAGTCCACCTGTGGCTCCAAAACCCAAAATCCTCCTGGTGATTGATGACGCACACACAGAGTGGTAAGTCATCATAGTACTGCTGCGTTCAGCTCCACCATGTCTGGGGGATGAGAGAGATCTGGGAGGCTTAGGGCATCTGCATCTCAGGCACTTTCACACCTAGGTCACCAGATCTTGCTCCAGTTTGTTATCGGCCTGATGACCTGCATACACGGCAGAGCAGGCTTTCTGCAGATCTTGACTGAAAAGGTGCTCGTTTGGCACTCATTGGCAAAAAAAGTCTTGACAGTCGCAATGTACAAGCACACACAGAGCACTGTTGGCTCATCTGGCTTAGCTGAACTGGCATGTTGAGCCGTGGTCCTAAGAGGTTGGACTTGAAGGTGTTTTAATGACACGGACAGGGAGTTAAGCCTACTGTCTGTGCCAGTCCTAGAAACGAAAAGGGATGCTTCTCTCCACCTCTCTCTTTCTCGGTCTTTTTCCTGGATGTAAACTTATACATAAATTAACAAAAAATAACCCAAGGCTACTACTACCAGTAGTAATGACTGGAGATCATTGGCTGGTCAAAAGCCCTTCACCTGTTTGTCATAGTGGTTATGGTCAAAAGGCTCTCAGGCTCAGCTAAGTCTGCCTTTTTCTTTCAGGTCTTTGTTTACAAACAGAAGTTTGGAAGTTTGTTTTCTGTGATATTTGGCAGCAGAGGACCCTTTCCAAAGAGTAGGACAACTGAAGTATTCTGAAATGTTACAGAAGTGACTTACTGCTCGCAGTGTGCTTCCTTTCAAAGTCTGCTGGTTTAGAAAACTGGCGGAGAGACCTATTTTGGGGAAAATCCAGACCATGTTTTGAGGAGATGTTCATTGTTCTGTCTGCCAGCTTGTCTCAACACAGAAAAAAAAAAGGAAAGGGTAACACACGCAAGGGGACTGTACTGAAGACTTGGAAGTGAAAGAAGTTGGGTTACCAGGTCTTGGCCAAGGGAGACGATTTATTATTTTTTTCATTCCACTCCACTCTCCAGGAAAGTGGTCACCTTTGGTCTTCTGTGCTTTCTGATTGAGAGGGGGGACAAGGTGGGACCTGCCTCCCTGGGGATATCTTCACAAAGCAAGAGCCCTGCGCTCTGCTTTGCTTCCTTTGCTTCTCTAAAAGGGGCAGTGACTGAGCACAACCAGGTCAGGTTGCTTCAGCCAGCTTCAAGTAGGCAGGGGAAACAGCAGGGGTTTTCTCGAAGGAAAAACAACTTTTTAACTGTGGAAAAGTCCCTGATAAGGTGGTCTTTGTATCAAAAGTTTCAGTAGACTATCGTATTTTATCACTGTAGCAGTGTGTTAATGGAAAGTTGTTCAGCTGACAACACCACTCTGGTTCAATCCTGACCTCTCCTTCCTGGGTGCACCTGTAAGTCTCTCAGCAGGTTCACTGATCTCCATCTCTGCTTCGGCTTTTTGCAGTTCCCTGAAGATGCTGCCAGGTGGCAGTCCCTTAACGTAGCATCCTCCAGCTGGGGATGGGAGTGCCTCTAATGCACGAGTCAAGCATCTGGAGTTTAGCCGGCGCTGCTTAGTCCAAACACTGTAATCAGAGAGGAAAGCCCTAGTTCGAAGGCCAATAAGTTTTTTTCCTTGAGATTAATGGTGCTGAAGGTAGTCCAGGCAGGGAAGAGAATGGGGAGGGGTTGGACTTTTGTTGCAATGTTTTCATGGTTTAAAACACACACTGCATTCAAATCCCTGACTTTATATCTCCCAGCTGCTGGTCTGTCATGCAGACTTTGTGCTCTGCAAACTGCAGAACCCAAGGAGCAGCAGCTGGGAGTTATAAAGAGGAGGTAAGGCTACCCGTGCTGTCTTCACTCCTCTGCTTGTGTGTAAGCACTCTGTGCATCCTCCTGTCTTGGCTATACCTCTGTTGTCTGTAACTCAACAGTTTCTACAAATGATGGAGGACGCTTTTCATGATGGAGGACTCCTCCCAGCAATCTGCATCTATGCAGGCCTACAGATATCAAATAATTCTGCTGGCAAAGGCTCACTGCTTTCACTATGTGTCTAAGGCTTGTGAGGACACTGATCAAAATCTGGGTATGCATTTACCACAGTATCATGAAAACTGAGGAAATAATATTACAAGCCCTTGTCCTCCATGACTCTTTGTACCATGGGTAGAAATTCATGCTTAGCCTAGAGAGTTTCACAGCCTAAAGGTACCATAGTATTTTCTGAGAGAGTACAAGTGCAACCACTCCAGTAGGCCAGGAGTGCTACTCGCAGCTTGATCTCACATCTCCAGGAAATTCAGTGAGGCCTTGACAGCAACACTGGAGAACAGTGCCTCTTCAGATTTTTATTATTGGTAACATACTTCCAGGCAATGCCAGTTATCTTCTTGGTCTCAGCCAGGGTGTTAGGTGAGCTCAAGCTGACCAGCCTGAGGTCAATGGCAGCAACATTTGCCTTATGCACCTCTAAAGAAGCTGGTAATCTGGAGATTCTGGTTGTCCAGCCCTCATCATGTACAGAAACAACCCCAGATTTGAAACGTGGACAACAACAACCTATTGTTATTTCTATGCTGGTGATTTGGGGTTTGGAAGAAGCATCATGTCTGCAATACATTTCTCTTCAACCCACTCTGGTTCTTGCTTCTTCTGAAACCAAATTTGGTTTTCAAGAAAGGGTCATTTCCTTTTCTTTTTGAACTAGTTAACTCAACTAGAAAAGATCCCCAAGAAATAACTACTAAAGAGCTACCCTTATTTTAAGGGGACTGGGGCTTCCTCCCCCATAGCAAGTTACACAGGGTTTACAACAAGGACTAGCTTGCTCACAGACAGGAAGAATGAGAGACGATGGAATCTGCCATTTGATTTATCTTCTCTAAATGAAAACACTTTCTCATAATTGGAGACTGCAGCATTATTGCCAAGCCAGACATTAATTTATCATCACTGTTTGTATTACAGCAGAGACAAAGAGCTGCAATTATGGATTGGGACGAGGTGTTTCACAAGTGCATGACGAAATGATCTAACAACCAAAATAGGCATGTACATGTTGAAGGCACTTTAAAGTGACAAATGGCAATCCTATCTATTTTTAAGGAGCTACTCTGTCTCTGATGGCACAGAATAGCACTCTACTTATCTTGGAGACGTAGAGGAAGTGAAAAACACCCATGGGAATCCATGCTCTGTCTTCCTCTATAAAATCCTTGCCACTCCTGACATGTAGTATGCTCTGGTTTATTCCAAAGACAAAGTACTATAAAAATAATGTGAACTCCACAGAATACAATCAGCTGCTTTCTGCATTAGCAGCAGTAAAAGAAAGGTACATTCTATTAAAAGCGAGGGAACTCACCCAGCTTTCTGCTAAAGTGGCAATGTTTTGACAAATTTTCCATCTTACTCCAAGACCCTGCTCTAGCACATTGCAAGGAAGCACACAGTTAATCTACCACATGCAGGATGTACACAAGAGGAAAGCACTATCTGTATGGCTACCTCATGCTCTTGGCTTTGACAGAGAGCTCTCAGAGACACCACAGAAGTGACTGTATCCACACATTGACATGCTAAGGAAAAGCTCTGTTTCTCTTCAGTGATTAATGGTGCACTCCTCAGACAGGTATCTCCACACAGAGAATGAGGGAGCTCCTTGTGGGCCAGGCAAGCAGTATATCTGTGCCTTGGGCAACTTCTGAAAATGCATCCACAACCCACCAACAGCAGCTGCCAGAAAAAGGGAGCTTAGACATGAATACATACACGCATGTGCACACACGTGCATGCAAACACACAGCTAAAGGGAGTGAGGCCATGAGAAAAGGGGATGGCAGGACTCCATGTAACAGCAGAAGGGCCAACTCTGGCAGCCTGACCTCAGCCAGCAGAAAAACATCCCACCTCTGGCAACTTCTTCGCCCAAAGCTCTGTTAAGTAAAATCATGCTCTTACTGGACTGAATGTCTCAGCAGATCAAGCAGGATTTAGAATTGTGAATTGTTAACGCACCTCCTCTGTGAAAGCACTCAGCTTCTGAGCCTAATGCTTCATATTTAAACAGCTTATTTGGGAAGTGATCAAGCACAGCTAAGGTTCCCATTAACAACATATGCTAAAAACATTGCTTTTTGGACCAGACAGCATAACAAAGTTGTTCTTGTTGCATTTGTTAGATATATTTGTTGCACTTGTGAAATATCTCGTGACAATTTTCAAAGCCGTTGGCATGTGTTGCCTGAATTTCAGGCTTTTTCAATTGTTAACAGTGGTTATGCTGTCTTGCACAAAAGGCATGTGCCCTGTGTGAGGCAGCTCTATAGGCTAGGATTGCGCCATATGTCACCAAGAGAAAAAGACTGAGAGTATTTTAAGAGACAAAAATTGTATTTTTTTTTCCCATTTAATTTACAGCCAGATCTGCCTGAACATATTGTCTCCAAAAAATTTAAAAATTATGGAAGAGAAAAACTATGATTAACACTGAATGAAATCCTCTTAATGCATCTGAAATGGCTCTTTGTATAATAATAATGTCATGGTTCAGGTCTAATTATGGGCTGACCTGACAGGATTACTGTTTTTCACTGGACTGGAGGAGATTATCAACCCTTTTTATTAAAATAAAGCTATTTTTACTTCTGATAGTATATGATGTATTGAGCCTTAAATATGTAATTTGTCCAAAAATATAGCAGGTCAAATAATAACAGTCTAATACAGAATTTTAGTAATTTGGGACTTTCTAAGCCCTATTTTTTTTTCAAGGAAATGGCTTTTCAAAAGTATTCCACGAATGTCATCATGAGTCATTTCATGCTTTCAGTAGGCTAAAGATGATATACGAAAGCTCACGTTCAGAGAAATATTTCTGTACTTAACTCACTGAAATATAATGGCAAGTTATGGACTAGCTTTTCAATTTGGACTTCATTACTATTTATTATTATTATTATTATTATTCAGAGTTGATACTTCAAGCTTGATCTCAGGAATTTGCTGGTTAAATTACAAAGCTTTGTCTGTATTTCCTGGTAAGAAACCCACAGTC